TACAGAATCATGCAGAGCATTCAGAAGCTTATCCCCACTACAGAGCTCATCATTTGCACACTGCAATGTCACCACTAAAACACTTAAATCAATGTGAACGATAACAAGAGAAGAAAAAAAGTTTTTGACATCCCCTACAGTTTAGGATAGCAGCAACATTTAGTGTGAATTTCTCTGCTCATCAAGCTAGCTACTCAAAAAGATGTCAGAAACTTGAGAGAGAGAGAGAAAAAGAAAAAAAATAAATGAATGCAAAGATTGAGTTCCACGGTGTATCCTCATTGCCTGGTGCTCATGACTCGTGGCTTCATTTAATTTCTGGAGTAGATGGGAGTCTCTTTCTCTCTTTTTTTAAAAAAAATAAAGTATCTTTGGTTAAAGAAAAAAAGTTTATTGCCCTTCAAATTGCTAATGGAATTGCCTTCAAACCAAATTACAATACACAATCCCTTGAACATATAAAAAAAGGAAAAATGTCACAGTCAAAAGTGTCCCTTTCTTGGAATGTTTTGTGTATTACACCAAAACTACTAGAGAAAGAGAGAGAATTAGAGACCTGCCAAAGCCCAATTTGTTGGGTACAAGCAGGTAAAACCTGCTAAGGAAGATTCAATTGCATTTGTTCTCTCAAATGACTGGATTTAACCACTCTACAGTGAAATCTGCTTCCATTTGGGTTTTCCAGTCTGCTCATGTCAGTGGTTCTCTACCCTCCCTCCTGCATTCTGAGCTCACAGCAGGCAACAGAACATCCTCTTGAGGAGAGACAATGTCTGTGCTCCCTTCTGCTTCCTGCACAGGCAGAAGGCAAGAGGACATAATGGGGAAAAGAAGCACTTTTTCACTCTGCCAGCCATAAGCCACCCACAAAACTTCCAGTATCTAAACATTCTCCTACCCCCTCAAATTTCCACACCATGTACTCCATGCACACAAGGAACACCAACTGACCCAAACCATGCCAATCCCATTTCCTCTCCAAAGGACTCTGCAAGCAAAACCAGCTGGCTGTTATGACGTGTGTGGTGCTGACAGCATGCAAAGCTTTTACTTCCCCTGCTGAAATGACTGTGTTTCCCCTATGACCAACCACACCTTCATCCATACAATTCCTTTATAGGAGTGTGAGGGAGGAGGTGTTGCTCAGCTCCCTTATACCCACCAGAAAACACAGCTCTCACACAGGGCTACACCATCAAAGCAATCTGATGGTTGTGCTGTGCATCTCTTGTAATCAGCATCCCACCACCACGACTGCCTGGCAGACCAGCAGCTCCAGGATGGACAATGTGAAAGGTGGCTCCTCTGACATGCACTGTAATCATTCTCTCTGCCAGTCTGTGCTGATGTAACAGTTCCACTGTCAAATACCCCCCAAAATCAGATCTGAGCCCACGTGGGAGAGCAGGCCAGATGGGTACACAGGGAAAATGCAATTAATACAAGTAAAACACGACTGTGATTGAGATTGCAACCTTCCATGCTTTGCTGATCTTAGGCCAGAGGAGCACATAAACAAGTATTTAAGTTCTTTAGCAAAGCACTCAAGCGCATGATTAACTTTTAGTCTTTGCTGAAGTCCTGTAATTTTTTGATGGAATTCAAATTCAGTCACTGCTTCCTCCTATTCTAAAAGAGCAGGTGATGCAAATCAAACCAGAAATACCTAAACTGTAGCAATCAGAACACATAACGGAATTCCACAACAATTGTAAAAGAAGGAAAAATCTACATCAGGAACAAACAAAGAAAAAAAAATGAAACCAAGCATCCTGGCCTGTGGGCACCTAAATAGCCTTCAGTGAGAGAGGAAGAGCAGGTGAGGAACACTGCCCTGTCTGAGCCATGCTTTACCCAGCTAATGCCATCTGTGTGTGCCAGTGTGCTTTATCCAGTGATGGGACTGAGAGCCACCCTTGCAGCTCTGCTGTGGCTCCTTCCATAGCCCTGTTTCTGGAGAGCCATCCAACCATGTCCTCCTCTAGGAAAACCAAACTCTTAATATGTAGTGTGGCCTTGTGTTGTTTGCAAGGGCTCAATGATCATGGCTTGGAGCACAACTAAGTCTTATTCTTATATAAATGTCCTTTCAAGCTAAGGGATGGTGAGCTGGACCCTGGGCCACCAAGGTCCTTGCCTGCCTTTGATCCAGCTCTCCTGGCAGATCATTATGTTAGCTGCCAGCAGGTGCTGGCCTCTGAATGAATGTTTCTGGACTTATCCTGAAATGCAGATGTGACCCAGAGGATAACCCCTGCTCCTCAAGGCTGTAACCACTCTCACTGAACAGTCCCACTCCCCTACATTAGTGGCAGAGTTTTCATCATCAGAATATTCTTGTTTCTCCTTCCTCCTGCAGTTCTCATAATCACAGTAACCCTTCCAATGCCACTGATGAAGAGAAATAAAATAAACAACAATAACAACAATAAGAGAAAAAAAACCCCAAAAAGTTTAAGGAATGCGTGTGCAATTAAAACCCAGAGTAAAATATAATAATAATAAAATAATAATCATAATCATAACAACCATACAATAAAATAACATTATCTTTCCTTTTCATGACATAAGCAGCATGATGCTCTCGCTCCCAAACTGGTGAGAGAGGAGAGGAATGCAAGAGAGAGAGCAGGGCTTTATTTTCCTGCCTCAGACGAAAGGGGACGTGTCTTTCCAAAACAAGAGCGGGGGTAAGGTGCATAGGCTGCTGGGAGATTGCATCCTCATCTACAGTATACTGAGCTGGAATGAAGGACAGGCAGGAGAAGAAAACTGTGCAAGAGTGGCCCAGGAACCAGAGCTAGCAACCAGGAAGGTTATTTGGTGGTTTGCCAGAAGACAATGGCCTTGTTGAGCAGCCTATGCGTAGCAGGATCCCTTCATCTTCCAGGCCAGCCAAGCACTTACTGCAAAACAACGTATTTGTGCTTGTCCTTCTGTCAGCTTTTCCAACCTGAGAGAGCCTCCTTCCTCACTGCCACTCAGGGAACCCATCCCTCACCACCCTGCCAACAAACCTGCTATTTTCCAGCATTTTGCAAAACACCTGACTACTCCATGCTCTAGTTACAAAGAAATGTAGAGTGGAACCGAGCAGCCCCATAGACTTCAGCTTTCATGGAAACGTTCTACCAAACTCCTTTCTCTCCTTCCTCCTCAGGACATCCACAGGCATGATGGTACTGATGCACCAGTGCAAGTGCCATTACCAGGGAAACTCCCTGCTGAACCAAACCAATGACAGGAAAGGCTCTCTTTAGAAACTGTTGGAAAACAAAACAACCATGTAGCATTCCTTGGTGTGGAGCACCAACCTACTCTCCAGTTCCAGGGTCACTCTGCCATTGCAGGCGGTTTTTCGGGGTGTAGGTGAAAAGAGAGCAGGGGAGGCACACAGTGTCACAGCTATGTTCGAGTGGGTAAGGCTCTATGTATTACAATACTCTTTTCGTTTAAGAAACCTGAGATTGACTCTCTCAACTGGATTTTCTCATGCTTGCTTTGGGACTCCAGCCCTTTCCTGACCCTTTCTCATCAACAGACACAGTGAGAGATGTTGGCAACAACTAGTGTTTCCCCCTATCAAGGACTAAATTTTTGTTCCCATTTCAGACACATGACCAGGACAACCTGATGATGAGAGTGGACAATGTCCTCCCACTCCATCGAGAACATCGGCAAACAGCAGAATGAGAATTCAGTTTCCAGGGAGGAAACCTGCTATTTCAACAGGGCAGAAACAGACCAGTCCACAAATGAGTCCCCAGACCCTCTGGGTCCTCACAACCGACCTGGTTGCTTCTAGCCCATCCAGTGCTTGACAAAACACCCAGTTATATGCACTTCTGACCCCAATGAGCCACCCCAACACCTCGCCAAGTGAGCTACAATTGACGATGTCAAAAAAACCCAACACCACCAGCAGGAGAAAATCAGCAGTAACAACCACCCCCCTCCCCCCCTCAAAAAAAAAGAAGAAGAAGAAAGAAAAAGAGCTGAGAGTAAATTCCAACTAGCCTCAGTCAGTTTCTAGGAGTACCAGTGGAAGTAAACCCTTAAACCGCGTCTGTAGTTTGGTAAGGCACTACGAGGGAATGATGTAAAACTAAGACTGTGACAGTTGTAATGGCTGTGCCGAGGAACACATCACAGAGAGAAGGCAGCATCTGCACTCACACACACACACACACACCTGGACAATCACATTGTTACATGCCTATGTTATATCACTTTTCTTTGTGCAATCACATTGAGGAATAGTCTATTGGTATCGTTGAAGTTCAACACAAAAGAGTAAAAAGGGGTATGACCTGTATAGTGCTACATTCTACCGGGGCGGGGGGCAGGGGGTTCGGGGCAGCTAAAATGTCTCCTCCTATACTAAAATGGTTAGGGATTGAAAAGGAACACTTCCAAAAAAACAAAACAAAACCCTAAAACAAATGCAACTGAAATCCAATATACATTATTAGAGATTTTGTTTAGGAATAGCATTTCTCAGGGATTTATCCAGTGTGTTCAATAAGAGGGAGAAACACCCCCATTGCTTCTGCTCTCAACCAGTGCTGCATGGCCTGTTTTGCCTAGGTGTGTTTAAGTATAGCAGTGTTAGGCCCAAATTTAGAGCACTGGGACAATGTTTTGTCCTCCACCCTCAGCCTCCCTTACCCACTTTCTTTTTATGTTAAAAATCCCCCCAAACCTATGTATACTCTAGGATACAAAAACTGCCGTATAAATCCTTTGAAATGCTGGATAAATCCCTAATCCATATACCTACAGGATTAAAAACCTAATGGATTTCATTTTAGGTGTTCTGGACAACAAATTTCTAAATGTAGCTCACTATTGGATGAAAATAACCTTTAAAAGTCTATTGGTGAAGTTCTTCAAAAGACAGGACCCGTTGAAGGGTCCTTCTCCTTCTCTCTTTCTCTCTAGTTTGGTGCAGAATGGTTGTTTGTTTTTTTTTTTTTTTGTGTGGTTTATTTTTTTTCTGTTCTTTTTTTCCATTTTCTTTTCTTTTTTTTAAATAAAAACTGTAGAATTGGTTTTTTCCCCCTTCTTTCCTCTTTTTCTTTTCTTCCTAAAGTCTCCTTCGTTCAAGTTTCACGCGAGCCTCCCATTGCATTGTTAGTTTGTCACGTTCTTCAACACAAAAGCGGCTGCCTCACTCCCCCCGGGCCGGGCACGTCTGTCTTGCTCTGTTATTCCAGTGTTTAGATGTAAGGGTACTGGTTGACCTTGGTGGGGCTCAGTGGGTATCCAGTGTAGACTGTGGAGGCTGGAGAAGCACTGATATAGGTCTGATGGGCAAACTGAGCCTGGTACTGGCTGGGGTGGATGGTGGGCGAGGGCAGGACGCGCGGGCCCATGCTGACGGGGACCTGGTGCACGATGCTGGCGGGGTAGGTGGTGTGCTGCACCGCGTGCCGCGCCGAGCCCTGCGACGCCACCAGGTGCGCGACGGTGCCCGTGGAGCCCAGGGCGGCGGGGGCGGTGTATGTGTACAGGTGGGGCTGCGTGGGCAGGTGGGCGGCGGCGGCCAGGTGGGGATGGACCGTGCCGTGGCTGGGGCTATTGTGCGGGAAGGAGTACGGGGCCTGAGCTATTGTTGGAGTGATGTAGGCTTGCTGTCGCCGGTGACTCCCTGCGCGGTCAGTCGAGATGTGCTGCTGGCCCTGGATAAAGACAGCAACAGTGAGAGGTGGTTACAAGACAGGAGATGGCTCTTTGCCTCCTCAGTAGGGTCTGGGAGCCTCCCTGCAACACCAGGACAACCGCAATAAAGTCTCCCGAGATCCTCCTGATACCCTCAGCATCGCCAGTCTTCCCTTGAAAACAAGTAACAGCAGTGGGTCCCTCACAAGCCCAGGAAAACCCTATAGTTTCATACATTGACAGGGTATGAAACTCTGTAGTTTCATACACTGACCAAAACTATAGGGTATGAAACTCTGTAGTTTCATACATTGACCAAAATGACCCCCAGAAGATCAGCAAGTCCCCCAGTTTGAGCTACAACCTGCTGACACAGCTACCAAAAGACACAGCCTTGGACACCCAGCTCCCAAGAACATCTTCCTCAAGTCCAGTTGCTCAGGCAACAAGTGTTTTTTGCTGGTGAACTCTCTGATGACAAATTGTGGTCTACAGATAGCTCAGGGGAATGAGATTGCCTAACTATGCCTGGAACAGGCAATTTATTTTTGTTCAGTTTGGGTATTTGCAGTTAATGATTTCCTTGGTTAGTAAAAATAACCATGTTATTTTTTAAGGAGAAAACTCTCAGCTTGATTAGATCCTGCAGGTGCCTGGTGCCCTCATTGTCCTTAGCTAAAATTACGTGAGCACAGGAAACTCCTAGCAGTGAGAAGGGACCAATGTACTTTTTTTTCCAGGGATTTTTAAAGTTATCTTCTTGCATTGCACAAAAACGTAGGGAGTTTTCCCAGTCATTTGTAGTCAGAGTATTAAATTACCAATAAAGCAGGAATTAGAAGACAAGAAGGAAAATGATCCATGCTATTTCCTTCTATTCTTCCAAACCTTTTCATCCATTTTGTAAGTACTCTCTGTGCCATTACTGTGGGAATATGGTAGCCATACTCCTCCCCAACTCTTGTAAAGAGCATCTTCTTGCCCACTTCCTCTAGTTTCACACACTTCTACTTAAAATTTGTTCACATTTTTAAATTTCCTCTGCATATTGAAGGAGAACACACATTCTTCTCCACCAAGTTATTTTTCTTTTTAAAAAACAGTTCTGCTAATATCCAGCTCTGGATGCATGCCAGCACCATCCTCCAAGCTCTCCAGACTTTCTCCTCTTGAAACACTGGTACCTGAGCTGTAACTTCCCTACTCTTCTCAGCTCACCTCAGGGAAGAGAGAGGCCCCAGGTGCAGGATGTGAAAAGGGCATTATTTCCTGCAGCTCCTGGGAAGCTCCCTGAGAGTTCTGATCACAGACCGGGAAATGTCTCAAGAACTGCACGCTGCCAAGAAGTGGGATTTGTCCAGATCTCAGCCCAGCTTTATCACAAGATGGATCAAACTCATTACATGAGGTCACCTATATACATAGAGGCTCTGGTTTGCCTTGTCACACCTGATGGGGACTTCTCTCCCAGTCCCACAACCAGGATTGCGCACTCTCTTCACTTGGAAGATATTCTCCCCACAGTTACTTACAGCTAAGGAGAATTCAGTCCTTCCTACATGCTCCTGCTCCACTCCTTTGTGGCTGAGTCACTGCATTTCCCCTCTCATGTTATTCCCCCTCACTCTTTTAGACCATCAGGCTTCAGCGCACACAGGAAGAGAACCCCCAGCCCGCTCAGGGGTGTGATCTGCACTACCTCTGCTGCCTGAGCTGGAAGATCAAGGTCTGCAGTCAAGCAGAAACAAGTTGATCAAAGTCAACATGGGCTCCAGCTGCCACTAGACTGGACCAGGACAGCCCACGATGGAGGAGTGGTAGGTAAGAGCTGGATGATGCACCACCAAAATCAGTCTTGGTTGACTTACCTGACTTAGATTTAGAGGCTGCTGCTGCTGGAAATGTGCTCCTGGTCGCTGCTGCCTATAGGCAACGGCTCCAGACGAGCTCCCTGAAGAGTGACCGCTGGTGGAGGTCACGGTGCTGGAGGACTTGGACTTGTAGGAGGATGAGTGGTGACTGGTGGTGACTGTGCCAGGAAAGGAAACACATTTGTAGCTTACATGACATTGTTTAATTGCTCACCCTACCTTTTCCTCACTGAGTTTCCTCCAGAGTGGCTTTTGGGAGGAGACATACAACAGAAGCAGGTTAAGAAAACTGTTTCTCTCAATTAACAGAATACCTCAGTAGGGCTTGATATACACGACAGACCTGTTATCCTAGAGGCAGACAAACAAACCTGATTAACTGGACCCAAAGCAGGTCTGGAGCAGGCTTTATAGATCCTTCAGAACCATGAGACAACGTTCTGCCAGCAGAACTGTACAACGCAGGTACAAATCCCAAGGAGAGGAAGGAAGGTATGGTGTACACAGCTTAAAAAAGCCCTGGCTTGCTAACATCAGGTGAGTGGGAAGGGAGGGAGAAGGAGCTGGTGGGGAGCTCGCCCTTCGAGCCTTTGTGCTCACCAGCAGTGCATCCAAAGCAAGGACTGCCAGGTAGCTCAAAGCCAACAGCTTTGAGCCAGACTTCCACCATAAAGCCCTTTTCAACACATGACACTATCTAGCATTGGAGAGGCTCTGGATGAGCAAACCTCATCAGTCCACAGTGAAGATCCTGGGGAAACATTCTACCCAGAAACATCAACAAATTCAGATGAAATTCACATGTTTTCAATCTCTTACCTGTTTTAATGAAAGCCTACAGAAAGGCAAGACAGCAAAGGTTCACACTTGCATTTGGGTGCCTTTCATGTCAAATGTTGAGCTAAAGGCTGCATTCTGTTCTCGGGTTTGCACAGAACTAACTGGGACCAACACTTGACCCACGACTCCCGAATGAACCAGGGCACACAAATAATGCAATATGGCTACCAAGAACAGATGTGTCACTTGAGAGAAGTGCAGGAGCACCGTTTCTTTGGAAAACAAACCAACCAACCAAACAAAATGAAACTGAACAATGAGATTCTTCCAAGATAAATCATTTATTTCTTACTAATTTTCTTGACGGAAGAGGTGCAATTTACCTGGTGCCAGGCTATCGCACTCTACCAACACCTCACTGGCCTGGGTTTTCAGTGGTGGCACGATGATGGTTCGGGGGTTCCCACTGCAGTGAGTCTCTGGAACCCCTTTGGTGTCGTAGCTGTTCCCATTGTTCTGCCCTGTGCGGTGCTGCACGGCGTAAGGGCTGTTGTTGCTGGAGGAGTCGGAGTAGGGGGAGTCATGCACGGTGACACAGCTGATGACATTCTTCCTCTGCTTGGACAAGGTGCTGCAACACAAGCAGACAAGTGGAAAGAGTGAACAGGCAGTGATCAACTCGACACCATTAGAAGGCTCTGCCTGTGGCAGATGAGCTCCCTAAGGACAAAGCACAGCCTTCAGTCCTCTGCTGGAGAGAGGCGGCTTAAGCCAAATCCTGGGCTTCAAAACTCCCTCGTTACTATTCCAGGAAAGCCTTCATGGAGGTCAAGGAGTGAGTAAGATGTTGTGGATAGATCTTATATTCACACTGCTTAGAATAGCACTGAACCAGACTGCCAGATTTATTTTCAGACTGCTTTTTATGGATGTGTGCAGTAGAAGCCCAGCAGTTATACTATGCTTTGTTGCAAGTCTCACCACCCACACAAAAACGTGGCGGTTTCTCCCAGCCTTTCAGCAATGATTTAATAATAGATGCTATGACTTTTCATGCTTAAATTCCATGAATCTACAAAACACACACCATTCTATTTACTAGGATGGTACAACGGACACATTCTCAATAAGCATTTGAAAATAATGAACAAATGAGAAAGAAATGAACAAAGTATAGAATGCTTTTGATTTTCTTCAATTTCTCTGAACAGGCTCTGGGTCTCCTGACTCTAGTGTAGATTATCAAGGTCCTGCTGCAACTAATCTATCTATGACATCAAAAAAGTGATTAAAAAGGCACATCAACGCTTCCAAGATTAGTGCTGGAAGTTCATTAGACTAGACTGCTTGAGTACGATTGGGATTTGCTCAGGTTATTGTGCCTAATTATTCCTCATGGTTTCTCCTTCCTGTTATGAGCTTGTTTAGGGAGAAAAAGAGAGAGTGAGAAAGAGGAAGGAGGAAGGGGGATGGTGAAGATTTGCTTAAATGGCTCACATCCTTGACGGTGCACAGACCTTGACTACAGAAAATAGCTGTTATGTTTTACTGATTGCATTATGTTGTTATGGCAACTGAAGTTTTTAAAATGATGAAAAGAAATGGATAGCACATAAAAAGCTAAGTAATTAGGCTTAATGGTGGAAACAGCCCCAACAGGAACAGAACTGCCATGGAGAAAAAGGAATCTTAACTTCATGAGTGTGCACTTTAAACAGAGAGAGATCTCTTTCCCATGGAGCGCCCTCTCCATTTTCTCAGTCTGGCTAGTCCAGTCCAGGGAACAGCTGATTAATCTGGTCTGGGATGGAGCTGTTTGTTCCCTGGTCTCAGCACTGCTCCTTTCCCAAAGGAAGGTGGAGCAGACACTGAGAACAGTTTCCTTCCAAGGACATTGTTTGTCTTATTTATTTTCACAGTCCTAAAGGAGCCCTGGTGGATTCCCTTCAACTTGCCCATGCCCAAAGTCTCTCTGTCAGCATTCACAACCTGCAACTCAACCCCCGTATCCCAAGACTCAGAGTTGGAAATCTGTTTTCTTTTCCCTTTACAGAACACCTTGGGTTGCTGCATTCACAAAAGTTCCCATCACACAGATGTTCCCTGGGCTATCATCACAGGGTCCTGGTGTGCCCCAAGGAGGACAAAAGACCACGTTGTTCTACTCACAGTGAAAAACATGTTTTGAGAGGCCCCTGCCATCCTAAAAGATGTAACTTGAAACAGGACAGATGAGAGTGAAGGAGAGGGAGCTATTGCACAGCAGTTGGAAAGAAATCCTTCCAGGGGCAGGGATGGATTGACAAGGAAAACGTACAACAGCAAACCCTCATATTCTGGCTTTTCACAAGGAGCTGGAGAGCGCTGGATTAGAAATGGAAAGAGCAGCATTGCATCTTAGATGGACAATGACTGTGTGTGAAGAAAGATGTAGCAGTTTGGATATGCTGCTATGAAAGAAGAATATTAAGCCAATAAAAATGACTAATATTGCATCAATATTCCCCTCTCCATCAGCAGAAAGGCCTGTAATCACACATTTATGAGTATCCACGCTGCTTGCCCTTTGCAGCTACCCTTGGCTGCCAGTTGGGAAGAGAGATATATTCTTTATCTCTGACAGTTATTACATTTTATAAAGAAAAATCAAGTCACTAAAGAGTTTTCTGACAACTGATAAGGTCTAACTGTTCTTTTACAGTCCCTTCCTGATCTAAGTGGCTGAGCTGCTGAACTGGAAATACTTGCTCTCAGCTGAGAATTGACATGAGAAAGTTGAGCTGTAGAACTGGAAGGGTAATTTTCTGTGTAATCTGTGCTATTTATTGTTTTAATATGGGCATATTTTTCACCAGTTTGATTGAGGGCTTGTCAAAGCAGAGACCATGGGATCTTTCTCCTTCAAAGTGTTGAAGTCCCTCAGTTACAATAAAAAATTCAAGTATAACCGTTTGATTAAATAAGTGAGTGACCCCAAACCCAAACACTTCCAGAGAAAGGGACCATATATCAGGGTATTAACTCATTGTATGGATGGGAATCTGAAAAGGACCAGAGCTATGGTCCTGCCAGGCCTTATGCAAGTGCTCAGCACTGCTAGTACCTGTCATTTCCCAAAGTCAACTGGACTATTCCTGTAACAGAGCTAAAGCCCATGGGTAAATATTTGCAGGATTAAGGCCCAAGTGATCAGCCTCTCAATTCAGCAGGCTGCATCATTTCAAGCACATGAGGAGTCCCATAGAAAGCAGCTGGATTTCTGTCTCTAGGAAAGGTAACAACTTTCTGGATGTTACAGCAGGCAGAGAAGTCCTCAGTCTGGACTAATCACACATGCCTAGAGCTCGGCATCTGCTGTACCAGAGCCTTCCCCAGAGATTAAGGGTGGGAATTTCAAAAACATCAAAGGCCCAACTCATGCTGAAAATAGGTTGATTCACCGGCTTAAAGATACACTTTAATCCAAAATGGAGGCTTTCGAAAATTGAGCCCAGCAGTCAGCATTCCCCCTACTCAAAGCCTTCTTGGTAGCCAGCAGCTTTCCCCCTTCCAGCTCCCTCTCAGCTGCTCTTCCCACCTTGCAGTAACCCAGGAGTTATCTGTGTGAGGCCCAGGCTGATGGATCACCTTCCCTGCTCACAAACTATCAGGACTGAGAGCTTTTACCTGTTGACACAGCACTTGCCTACTCAGCAAGCTTACTGTATTCCTGTAACTCAGCCACAGCTTTTGGGGATGTTTGTGCTTACACAGAAAAATACTATTAAAAGTCTTTTCCCCCTTCCAATATATTAAGCCATCTCCAAGCCTGGTAATTGCTTTCCCTCCTGCATGCACAGAAGCAGCAGCAAACATGATTTAATAGTTTGGAGAGTTGGTCTGTGCACCTGGGCAGCTCATGGGCCTGCCTGCATCGTGTGGGAAGGTGCATTTAAATTCTCCAGAGGAGGGAGGGGAGAAGACTGGTGAAGTGGCAGCAAATCCGTCCACACAGAATGAAAAGCACTGAGCCAGGTAGGCTTTTAACCCTTCCTGCCAGGGTTTGTGTCCCTCCCTTTTGGGGAAAGACAGATAAAATGAGCATTGCTTTGTATGTTTATTATTAGGTTGTGAATAATATCCCATTTCCACCTGGTCTAAAGACCTTATCCTCAAACTTGGACCCAAACCAGTTCACATCTATCCAACATGCACACACAGAGCATGACCATGCCTTTTAAGTGGAAGCAAGTCTTGGAGATGGCTCTCTAACATAGACCACCCTTGGGAGTGCCCAGCAGAGATGGATGAGGATCCCTATTCCCTCCAGGAAGGAGAAGCCTGATAGAGGAAAAGGAAGGAAGACATCCATGCACAGGCACTCTGCAAGAAACTAAGGTGGCCACCTGAGATACTGCTAGTGGAAAGGTGCTGAAGACAGATGTTGAGAACAACAGGTGATAGAAATTAAGGAAAGGAAGATGCTGAGCTAGGTACTAAAATAATGCTGAATTCACCTCAATAGCCAAAGATAAGGACAGAGATAACTCCTGAGAAGATTTTTACTTGCTGAAGGCCCATCCCCAAAGTTTGGTAGGCAGCAGCATTGTAGGAACGGGATCTTTCTTCCCCTGAATACCTTGAGTTACAGCAGAATCACAGAAAAACCAAATGGTGTCTAGTGGGAGCAATTCTTCAGCAGATGGCTCACTCCAAGAGCTGCAAACCTTTCAGTGCTGCTGACACTGTAGCAAGAGAGCCTTTTAGCTCTCAAGGTCACCAGCATCTGGGGATGAAGGCAGCCATAGCACAACTGTACCTTTGAACTGGTGTGCATATACACCAGGGCATGTTAGCTTTACCTCACATCACAAAAACTCTGTTTTAGGGCTCTGAAAACTTAATGACATGCAACCCTTTCAGTTTGCTGCTTCAGAATAATCCACCTATTCGAGGAAAGCATGGAGTCAGCCAACAAAAACTCTCACCACAACTGCAATCAGTCTCCCCATGTTGAAATCTTATGCCATGCATAGCTCAGTGCTGGGAATGTGCCCCCTCTCTTCAGCTCAACCTCCATCCTGACCTGTTAATCTGCTCTCACCTTCTTTGTGCATTTGTGATGGTAAGAAATATTTATCAAGCACTACACTGAGGCCATTTTATTAGGCTATACAGCATGTGTCATTGCTATTTAAGTCATATAAACTGAATTGCTGAGCAGGTTATAAAGGTCCTGCTGCTGAAGGTCTGCTGACAGAGCTACTGTCTATTTCTGTAATTTTAAATATTAGCTGCATGTCAGTGTGTTCTGGAGATGGAAGGCAGCAATCTTTTAACCAAATGACTGTGGTTAGTCAGTGTATTGCTATGCAGAGTCAGTGCATTACTATGCACAGCAGAACACAGCCACAATAGGCTGGATGTCAGAAGAGAATTACAAATGGTGTTTTGCTCCTCACACATGCACATCAGCAAGTTGACAAAAACACCTGGTTTGTGCCTGCCAGCAATTTCTGTGTGTGAGTCTTCTGAAGTGGGCTCCACCACCACTGCACTACGACGTGAACAAGGTGAATAAAAACTTGCTTATGCTCTGTTACAGAGGTGAGACTCACACAGAAACTACACCACAGAGCTTCCCATCTTCAC